ATGATCGTACCCAATATTTATCTTCTGTTATTTTACTGACAGGGCCACGCTGTTTCAAATATGACCAACCAGTTAAAGAGTTCATCAACCTGAAGCAGCGAGAAGTTGACGAATGCGCAGAAGTTGAACAACTTAGCGCCGCCAAGAAGGGAACATCTTCCGGGTAAGAGTGACCATTGCAGCAATTCACGGATTCTTTGCTCGCGTGAGGCATTCTCTGACCTATATTCTCCCGGAATGCTGTGAATTGTCCCGAAATTGCCCGCATGTGGGGTATTCACGTATTGTCGTGCATCCGATACAACAACAAAAAAACAAAAAAAAACATCTCGTTATTATTATAAATTTTAGATTATTTGAATATATATATAGGTGGATCAAAATAGCTGCTCACGATATGACGGATTACGATAACTATATTTTCTGTACATTTTCGATGTATTACATTTTTTTTCACTATGAATGTGTAATACATGTTTTATTGTTTTATTACAAACCGCCTATATCATGTCAGAAGGTAGTAGCGTCCGTCTCGCTATCTACGAGATGAGACTTGAATGGGATCTTGGCATGATGTCATCATACAGTACTATGTGCGTTGCAAACCCCAAGTAATGTACCTCTAATATATTACAACATTGTTCGTGATCTAACTATTCATTCTCGCGGACTCGCTGCCCCGCCCCCAGAACCATCTAGACACAAAGATGCGTGACTTTTACCAAAAAAGCATAAATACACTTTGAAAGACATAACTAATTGTTCTACGGTACTCGCTTAGATATTTGATATTGCCCACTTAGATACGAAGATGCGTGAAATTTGGCAAATTTTGACAATGTCACTATGTGGTGACGTTTAAAAATGTATACAAAATACCTATTTTGAAATTACCGGTATGGTTTTAGATAACTGGGTAATGACAACTCAAAACTCAACATAATGTCCATTGATCTAAAGTTGATTAGGCAGTGTAATGTCGTTCATTTGCGATAACTTTAATTTGTAAAATGTTATATGAGTAATAAAAACAAAGTCCGAAACACGCACATACATTAATATCAACACGACCAGTTGAACGTGATTGGCCAGTACAAACAAACAAACAAACCTGGGCGTGGTGACGTAAATGCACTCGTGTCGTGCATCGTTCAGATATTTGACTTCCACTCAGGCTCCGTGCATATTGGTCACAGTCTGGCTTATTACGTAACAACTACACGTGACTGTATTACTGCGCAATAAAACCCATTGCACAATACACTCACTATTTATATAATTATTTTCAGAGTGGACGTGGAAACCTTAAAAAAGATGGACGCTGTCGACAAAAAACTGCGTGACACGGATGTAAAACTTACAGAGTTACAAGAATGTATTGACGGAATGGAGGAAAACATCGTCAAGAAAATATCACTTCGGCAAGAGGAGGTGTTGACAACTTTGTTTCGTGGTTTCACGGAACAGTATGAGCGGAACTTGGCAGCATTAAACCCGACAATGTCATCGGTAGAAACGGTCCAAAACCAATCAATCACACAGGGGGAATTAGGAGAAATATTGACAGAAATCCGGGAACTTCGCCAGAAACAAAACGAGTCTATGTCAAAAGTTAGGAATGCTCTTAAGAAGAATCGGAAGTTACTCAGAACTGTTTCTGAGGATCGGTTATCAATTAAAAACAGAAAAGACAATAATGCATCAGACTCAGACGAGTAGTATGTTCATTTATGTTTAGAGGCTGTGATACCAGGACCAATCAGATTACGCGTAACAATTTCTCTGTACAAAAACACTGGACAAGCATACACGTGATGGATAACGTTGAGGCTGAATACCGCGCCGGATACTAAATACTAGAGGCTGAATACCGTTCAGGGTGTCGAGTTGGAGGGGGGGGGGGATACTATATTTGAAAACTTCAAAATGCAAATAATACCATGAACTATATTTTATGATAACTCACATTGAATATCGAGAAAAGACAATAACACTATATTATGTACATTGACAACACACAATAATTATTGTTCCGTACAAAGGAAATAACGGCAGTATTATAATATTAGTGTTATATTCTATTAATCCAAAGAATCAATTGATAAAATTTAATTTTCTTACGTTCATATATACCAATGTGTCACCAATTCGTCCCTGGTTGTTATACTTACACCAATTTTAGAACTAATTCTTCTTCGTTTATACCTCAGAAAGTTATAGACGAATTGTGAAGGGTTGCCTTGAAAACAAGTACAAATCGGTTAGCGCTTGGTTGAAATCGGAATCCCGTTGCATGACAAAAATATGTTTTCAGCAAACAACGAATTAGGAGAGACTATCCTTTCATAGAGATAACCCAAGCGTCATTAGACTTTAGGAGAAATATAGAATCAATTTCTATGTGGATACTTAAGAAATCTTCACCATTAATTGCAAAACCACGCCCAAAATATACCTCGATAATGAATTAACAGTTAACCAAACTTATAGTTACGAGCAACATAAATTTAGTTGTTGATTAAACATCCGCTTACTGAAATTTATTTTTGACCATGCGGTTAGCTTGTTTCTTTCAATTAACATTCGAGTTACTGAATCTGAACGTTAAACAACAACATCTATGTTTTCCGTAATTCGAAGTTTCGTTAAAAAGCGTGCGTTGTTTCTAATGTATGGGCGCGGTAATTTGTGTTACTCGATAGGTTCGTAACTGGAGATTCGTTACTCGATGTACGTAATTCAGCTTCTCACAACTCGAACAATTTAGCATCCCTTCCCAGACACTAGATCTAAAAAATGTAAAAAAAAAAAATGTACGACAACACACGACACTATGCATGGCTGCATGTGAAAACAAGATGAATGCGAAGAAAGCATAAAACATAAGCGGGCCTTGCTGGTATCTGTTAGCTAAATACTATACGTACAAATGATAGATTAAAACACACTATACCGTGTTTACTCTCCGATAAATTACAGGAATTGGGCTCCGATAGCATCTAGCGTTTATATGCGATTGGAACTTGAATCATTTGCTTACAATGAAACTAAGTTGAATTTTTTTGCATTTAATAAAAAATTCAACGAATTTATTTATTATTTATATCACAATTGTGAAACGCATGACCGAATTGCGCAACTGTGATCGTTTGCTACTACGCATTGAAGTTGGTTTTCGTTTATATTTGAAACTTCGTTTAGAATATACTTTCGTTACCAATATAATAAAAAAACAAATGTATTTGAAAAATGACACTGGCTGACATTGTAATGAAATTTTAGCGGTATACTTTTTAATTCAGCAAGAATTATTAGTTATTTTTTATTCTGCAATGATTTTTGAGTCGTCTTGGGTGGCCCAACTGCCGGCGTTGAAAGTCGCGTGGGTGGATTTTTTAATGAAAATAGAAGTACCCAAAAAATATTTGATGATTATTTTTTGAAATTTTGAAACCCAAATAAGCACCCACTAGCCGTGAAATCGCCGAGGGCAATTTTTCGGATGGGTGAATTTACGGCAGAATCCGGTACTAGTATACGCGGGGAGGGAGTCCAGAGCGGGAACAGCCATCATCCCTTTTACGGGGAAAACGTGAAATCTCGACGGATTTGTTTCGTTCTCACATGTAATATTAGGTTTTGGAGGCTTCTGAGTTCAAAAAAGATGACTAAATCAACCAAAAAGCAAGCGTTTAGAGACATACCTATGCAGAAGTTGGTTTGCCAGTATTAATCAATTTTTAACAATTTGGCTACTCTATTGACATTGGCTGTTTATTTCATGGATTTGGCATTTGAGGTGGCTAATAAGCCGTGGCGAAAACGTGCACAAAACAACTATTCTGTGCACGTTTTCGACACGGATTAAAAACCAGTTGTAAGCACAAATTTTCATGATGATAGGACTAGGCCATGTCATGGCCCTGGGAGAAATCACGCCCTCTGTCGACTTCTTCAAATTACGTTGTATTCTCTGCAGTCGATGTCAAAACTGTACATGAACGAACTGAAGAACCCATAAAATAAGTGTTGTTCGTAAGCGGCGATTGACACAAATCATTTACTGCATCTTTACTTGTCTTATCCGAACGAACCTGTTTCTCAAGGAATGTAGGTCCAGTCATGACAGAAAATCGCACAATCGTCTAGATTAAAAAACAGATTGAGTGTTTGAGGGATCTGTTCCGTTTTCTCTGAACAAATCGGCCCAACCGTACAAACGCATAAGAGGCAATCTCCTGTTAATTGACGAGACAAGCAACAAGTTCGGCTCTGATAAAATGCTGCCGTAACATCCTAATACGTGTTAAACCATGGAGCTACTTTTTAACTTCATGATTATATGTATCTACCAAGCTTATGGCCGCGTCCCTTTGACCTCCATTGTGAGGATTAATCAATAACTAAACACAAGTTAATGATTAACCCCCCGCAACAAGACATACAACCAACCGGACGCTGTGCTGTATTAATTTATCACAATTCTGTTCTTCTCAGCTAGGTTTTTTATAATCAACTACATCAAGCAATTGCTAAACCTAATTCAAGACATCATATGACGGTGATACATGGAGGTATTTGAACAAAGTCGTAGTGTAAGAATTATATCGACGTCATTTGATCCCAGAGACTTAGCGTATGGAACCCGAGAGACAAAATAATGAAACGAACACGTATTCGGTACGTGCTGATTAGCCTCTCAATACCAGCCTTGGTTTATACAGTGTTATTGTTATATGTATTGCACGTTAGGAAATCATCGACCAACTGGAGAGAACCACACAGGTAATGTTGTGAATTCAATACGATATCATCACAAGAGTTTGATACAGTCATGACCGGGTGCATGTCCGGGTACCATGATGGACTCGGAGTCATGTTGAACGATTGTACTGCGGTGGGTCCACTGAAAGAAGGTTGTTCGTAGATCTAGAAACTGTCAATTGCCTCTGTCACCTGATGTTGTACATTCTTTTGATCGACAGGAAGCTGGTAAGAACGAGTCACAGTTTGATCCCGGAAGAAGGGGTGTTACCGGAGTTTTCTGCTAGTGAACGAATCCAACGACCGCCTGTTGATCGTGGTGCAGTGCCACAGAACACACAGAGGTTGGATATCATTACGTGTATATACTACAACTTGTATTTGTCTTTTTTTTGACCCTGTTAAGTTTTGCTGGTTACCACTGAATTCAATTGAACTGAATATATTATTAATATCGTTATTTAAGGAGGCACACTGTTCTTTGGTCAAAACATGAACTATTTGGTTTATGTATATCGCAGAGGGCGCTATTGCAGGTCTAATTGTACATATGAAAATTGGTGCTTACAAGTCTTAGTGGGGGATTTGGATTATAACACGATCTAAATCCAACGTTAAGCCTATAAACGTTCCATTGTTTTTAGTGCCAAACCCCTTTGTTAAGTACAACAACAAATATTTCGTTGGTGTTTGTGAGCTCTTGTGTGATTGGTCAATGCATGGACAGCTCTTCCACTTCCGTGTTTTACTCCCTATCAATTTGGGCCCTGTTTAACCATAGACAGTATAGTACATATAGTAACACCAATGTCAAACGCCGTATGCCCAACGTAAGCAGGGCTGGAATATTATGATGAGCAAGTAAACAATAACGTCATA